TGGGACAAAACGTTTGTCAAATACTTAAAATCCAAAAATAGTTTATTATGTTGCTGATGATTGACTGATGCTTTTTTTATGAAAAGTATTTATTTCATGTCGGAAATACAATCGGAGGGGTGGACATTCCCTGCCGAGGGGCGACCGCAACGATATTTTTATATGGCTTAGGTAATTTTCCGATCTACTTTACTTTATTTCAATTTTAATAAAATATCGATATTTTGGCGATGGCGCTCGATTCGAAAATCGTTTTATTACAACCGAGAATACCGCCAAAGGTTCAAATTAGAGCTCTGTGAGCCTCTCTCATTGTGTCATTTCCTAAAAGAAAATATGAAGGAAATACAGATCCTGTTTAACGCTCTAATCGTTTTCCATAAATTTAAACAGATTAATTTCCTTTTATGGCAGGCGAATGAATTGTTTATTCTAAGACGACTCCGAATGGCGGCATTTTATGTGCAGCTTTATGACAACCCCAGCCGTGGGGCGACCGCAGTAATTAAAATGAATTGCTACTAGAAATAGTAGCTTTTCGTGGGAGAATCTAAGTCTCTAATCTAAGGAGGAGTATTGCAAAAATGTTCCACCCTAATATACCGTATATGTGCACACATCAGTCTCCCAGACCTCTTTTAATCGCCACAGATCGCACCAGTCAGATATCGACTGACTGAATGAATTTGAAGTTTAACTGCCAGCAGCCGGCCGCTTTCGAGCGAGTGTCGGCCAACTGACAGGGAATCGTTCCAACGCCACATCTTCCCATCGCGATCATATCCCATTATGACTGCATGTGCAGGGTATGCAAACACTTTTGTGAATAAGAAGGCATATAGCATATTATTGACAGTGACGCGTCAGTTTTGTGTGTTTTTGGGCTGGCAACAACAAATAATATGGCACTGCAACAGCAACGTTGAAAATTGCCAAACGATCGGATCGAGCCATCCAGTTTGTACATGTACATATATACATACATACAAATGTATGTATGTAAGTACGTACTTGTACATTAATAGGGGTAAGCATATTCGAATAATGTGCACACAGGCAATACATCCATATATCCATATATCCGTAGGTATTTGCTTAGTGTGCATCTGCATCTCTTCGGGTCGTACGGCTATGTTTTCATAAGACAGCTAAGTAAACCACTCAAGTAGGACATCATCGTCATCGCCAACGCTTACAGTGTATTGAATTCATTTCACATTATTTAATTTTTTTCTGGCCGATGTTGTTGTTGAGTTTTTTAATGGTAGCCACAGTGCCGGACGTGTCATCGTTGGCGCCAGTCACTAAAATAACCAACAAGCCGGGAGGGAGCGCGCACCTACCTAATCGTTGGCAGCGTCAAAATTACCAGACAATGCATCAATGGCAACCACGAATGGCCGAGAGCGGCCATGAGAACTGCATCTGAGTTTCCCAATGATGCGCTTCTTCAGTGATTCGTTTGCGCCAGAATTACGGATAATTTTCTTCAAAGTCGACACAAGCGTACGTACATATGTGTGTGTGGCTGATATTAAAATAACATGGAGGCTGTTCATACGTACATACACAGGCATTTGTGTCTTCGAGTGTGGGGTAGCGCCTCTTATGTTGTTATTGTTTACACAGAAATTGATATTTTATCTCAAAACAAAATAATACAAAATGGCAAATTACTTACTTAAACGTATAACACACACACACACATACACAGCGGTTCAATACATGTACCACATACATTCAAGTATGCGCGTAGAACTGTCTTCCATTATATTTATTGTTCATTATTGACATGATTTCAGCTGGAACGATATATGTACACACATATGTACAATAAATGCACATATTTACTTAGTAGCATGGCGGGCTATTAAACTGTTCAAATATCAAATGGTTTCGGACTCAAATTACCGGAATATTTTCAATAAATAAATGTTCCCGAAACAAAATTTTTGATTTTTTGTCAACCGTTTCAATTTCATATATGTATGTATGTATCACGGCCGCGGAAGCCGAGAGGTTGGCGTACTGCCATTCGGAAGGCTCGGGTTCGAATACCGGTGTAGTGCTAACATCCAAAAAAGTTGTAGATGACAACCCCTCCGAGTGTATTTCCGACATGAAGTAAAGGCGCCTCGTAGACGCAAAACAGCAAATTAGAGGAGGATCTCGGCCGAAAATCGCTACAATAGCACATACCTCGGTGAAGTAGCCAATAAAAAAACAAAAATTGATTGGACGCAACTCCAAAAATTACGGTTGTACATTTTGAAATATGACTCAAACGGTCTTCTCTAATGTACTGTGCTTCAGCGTTTTTAGGTTGACCCCCACCCCTTTTGGTGTGCGTCTTCGTATTTTGTTCAGGAACCTACTTAACGACATAAGAACTCACGCTACAGATCAAGTTCTTAACCATGAAACTTGGTTTGTTCTTTTCGCTATATTTTGCCAACTATTATCTGGGTGATTGATTCTACACAAATCTTGGCGGGATCAAATCTACTTCTTCTTTTAATGGACAGAAGGATCATAACTTTTCCGTGAAACCTTTCTATCGAAAACTTCTAATTCTGACAAATTGCTCATTCCTCCGGACCATAGACCGATTTGTAGAATTTGGTTTTGGTTCGTCGAAAGAGAACTTTTCTTTTCAATTGCCTCTTCAATTGTTATTGGTGTTAATACTGAAAATCGTCTACGACTTCAAAGTTATAACTCTCAACAGTGACGTAGGGGTCGAGTAGACAGGTGATTATGCGTTTTGTCTTTGTTCTCACGTAATAGATTAAAGAATTCACAGAATAAGGACCACTTTTATTTGTTTTTGTCACTGAAACCTTATTTGGTGCTGAGCGGCTCGGAGAGGTTCTTCCGTGCTGCTCAACGTAATTCACATAACAGTTTAAGCTTAGAGGGGATAACAAATTAAGACGTGGTGGCGAATGGTGGATTTACCAGTTCCAAAGTCACACAATACGTTCGATAGGGCCTTGTATGCAATTTTGAGAGGATTATCCCACGGTAATTGGTACAGACCATGGAGTGCTCCTCTTAGTGAAATGGTTAGAGCACAAAGACGCAACTGACGAGATCGCATAGCTTTGATATACGAAGGAAAACCCCACTATGTGATATAAAACTTCTCAATCTCGCAAATAATGTATTCTCCCATTGATTAATCACTCTTTCATGACTCTATAGGAAGACGAAGCGAATGGGTTTGGTATTGAACGAGGGTAAGATGAAATATTTCCAGCAATCAAACAAGAAATAAACACCTTTACGTCTGCGTTCAGCGGGATTGGTACTTGTGTTTTGGCGACAGAAAATACTATGAACTGTGGATTAATGAGGTGTACGAAACAAATGGCGACTTGGAAATGGGCCAGCGCTAGTCATGTCGTGCGGATTGACGAAACATTCCAGCCTTGAAACTTACAATACTCGTGAGAGGAAATAGTAGTATACAGATATTAAGTAGAGAAGAAGCTAACTTGGCATGCTCGATTGATGCCAAACTGAAGAAAGGAAACGAACAGGGTGATATTGCTGAATAGTGGTTCCTACGTCAATTTAGAGAAAGAAGTGCAGCAAATGACAGGGTGAAACATAAATATGGGAGAATTATAATATAATTAATACTTGTCATAAGGCACAACTGTTGCCAACTCTCTTGGATTGGTCTTTCTTCTAATAAAAATTTCAATTTATAAATTTATAACTTTTGGGCTTTATAAAATTGAAAAAAAAATAAAAAAATTAAAAAAAACGAAAAACTAAATAGCAAGAATTTTTTTTTTGAATTAAACTAAACTAAACTTTTGTTAAAATATTAGGTAAATTTAGCCGGCGCGCATAACGGGGTAAAAGTGTTCAAAATACGCACATTTTCTATTTTTGTTTATTTGTTTATTTATTAATTAATTTATTACAAAATAGTAAAATCGACTCGACAATTTCTATATATTTCTATATATTATATATAATTCGTGATATTATCTTCAAATTTGGACATTTTGCTTAAAATTATTTAAAGAAAAAATAATTAATAATTACTCTTCCACGCGCAGGCACGCGCCTGTCGGAAATTAAGATTTCTTACATCATCTTATGCAGAAGGAAAAGCAATTTTTAAGTAATTTCCAATGGATTCGGGTTACTTTTTTATTATACATACCAATTACAAAAATTTGAAAGTGCTTCACATGTGGAAACATTTTTATTGTAATTGAAATTTAGTTATTTTAGTAAAAAAAAAAGAAAAACATTTTTCCTAAGAGACGAAATTTCTTGAAATTTTTAGTAAAACTTACCGATTGACATCATCTTTTTTATGCTTTTTATGTTAATAAGGAGGAGGAGACCCATATAAATTTATACCACATGTCCGTCTCTCTGTCTTTCCGCCTATCTTGACGGCTTTGGAGATATTTTAATATTAAGTGAGTTGGTTAGCAGATGTAGATTTTTTCGACTTAAACTGTCGGAATCGGCCTGACCGGATCACTATAAAATATGGGCATTTAACCGATTTATCATAATTTCTACCTACAACCAGTTTTTTAGAAATGAAACTTCAGGTTTAAATCGATAAAAAAGATATTACATAAAATTTGATATGCCCATGAAAGGTATAGATACTTTCAAACGCACATTTCTAACTTCCTATACCTAGATCTTAAGAAAAAAGAAGTTATTACTTTATTTTAATTATTTTAAAATATGCATAACTTCAATATATAAGTTGGATCGCCAATATTTTATATCTGTATAGGATATAGTTAAAAGGCAATTGCGCAAATCGGTAAGATTATTAACTCTAGAATCACTTCTGGCTTGTTGACATCTGAATTCTTCGGTTGGTTGGTTTAACGTGAACTCTTACAAACTCTTATTGCAAAGCACCCAATCGAAGCACACTAAACAAATTTGAACTTTTCTTAGCTCGCAATGGCATTTAATTCAAATTTTATTTAGAAAATTTAAAAGTATTTGTCAAACAATTTTCCGATAATTTAGCAAATTTTGGCTTGAAGAGGTAAGTTCAAATTGAAATATCTAAATATAATGTAGGATTGTGCACAAAAGTTTGATACCATTTGCTTTAATAAAGGTGATACCTTATGTGGCTTAAATATTTCGTGAATTTGCGATGATTAAAAAAAGTTGTGATACAAAGAAAATTCATAATTTTAAAAGGCTATTTTTTATGAGGAGGAAAAAGGTCTACTCGGGATTAATTTGATTAATATTCGTGTATAAAATGAATAGAACAGACTCGTTAAGTTCACAAATGTCTCTTCTGAAGAGATTTTTGCACAGCTAATAATTCATTATGTGAGTAATTTTCAAACACAAAAATTCAATTCGAAATTTCTCAGTTTTTCTGATTACCTAATATTTCTTAATACCAAAAAACTAGCATAACATTTTCTGCTCGCTACTTTAATTTTTCTCTATTCCGCGTGTTCTAGGCACTTTTAGCCCCCCTAGGCGTGATACGATTCTTCACCTAAAAATGTCAAGCGTTCGCGAAATATAATAGCGAACCCGAAAGGCCTAAGGCGCACTCGTGAGATATCTCCCTAACTAGATGGGGAATATTTGAGATATTCCACCCGTCAAAACAGGATATAACTAAAGAGAGGGTAGCTTTGCTTTAAGCACTTGAAGGGCTGTAAAAATTCTTATAATTCTAGAGTCTATAAGCCAGATATTGTAACCGCGGCTACCACTTAGGCCGAACTTTTTACTGTGTTCAAAATGCTCATTTGGTCAAGAAAGTCCCGCACACCCAGCCAATTCTCAATAGGCTAGGACCTTTAATGTTTACCGCTGGAGATTTTACAATTTATTGTTGGTCTAATATGGAATTAAGGGCTCCTGAGGGTCCCCCCCACTTGTTGGAACAACATCAAAGCAAAAATCAAAAATTGGAGGAGAAGCTCGGCGGAAAATCGCTTCTGCTGTTACAAATTATATTTGTATAAACTTGCCTTAGACTATTTTTCTTTTTTTCAGTTATTATTTTATAATTGTTTGTGACCCTAGTCCCTAACTGCAATACGCTTGCGCAATTAATAATAAACCAAATATATTTCTCCACTCTTACGGTAAAAATTTCCGTTTTAAATTTTTTATTTTTATCCGTCTATTTGATACAGGAAAAATTATCACAATCAGACTACGTGGTAACAGGGTGTACGGGATTATACGTTGAAATCAATGGGTGCATTCACGAACTGAGCGATTAATTAAGTGGCATAGTTTCTTCATAAAAACGTTTGGTCTTTTGTTTTAAATTTGTTTCTTTGAAAAACTGTGCAGATGGCGCACGTAAATCTATTTGACAATCCAAGAAATCTAGTAAATTGTCGTCACAAGCACTTTCTAGTAAAAATGATTTTAAATTTTCGCGATTCATTTTTTCTGTATACAGCAAATGACCGATCAGTAGTGAGTAGCATCAAAAATTTATGCTCACAAATATGGTGAGCGCTCAGTTCGCTGAACGCACCCAATGAAACAACTTCTACTTTCCTATCCCTTTGGTTAAAATTTTTCTCCGAATTTCTGTGGCACCAACTACAAAATATATTGCACCCAGTGTAAAAACGGACAGTGAGAGCAACAGGATAGTTGAGATTCGGGAAAAAAATAGATCAGCCCCCCTGTCCTCCCCTCTGATTACATTTTTTTCCCCCCAGATACCGATGAGAATAAAAAATTCAAATTAAAGTCCTTGTTTTTGGGTTTTATGCATTATTTTATATTATCTTAATTCATTTATTGCATTCTAAAGATAAGCTATACGCACAATATAATATTACACCTTATAATCTATTTACATTGACTCACTCAAAATTAACATGCGATTTATATGTATATTTTCAATTATTTTGCATTACTTTTTTTATTCAACTTGTGATATTTGCTTATGTTAACTACAGCGTATTTCGAACTGTGCAAAATATAGTATAATTCAAATTTTAACTTTTTGACAAATTCAATTTATGAATTTAATTTTTCGAATAGTTACATACACACATGCATCGTAATTGTTGTATCAGATGAAATTAAAATTTATGTGAGCCATGTTGTCTCTTTTAATGATTAAGTGAATATTAATTATAAATGTTTCTCCGCATGTGCAGACATTCTTTTGAATGTTGGGTTATACACACGTATGTATGTATATAAATTGATTTGATTATTTTTTTTTAGAATCGTTACATCACGTTCTGCCGTCCCCACCACATATGTACAAATATATGTACATATATGTAAAGATACATAATTATTTACACAAGAAATCAAAATACTCGAAAATATATTCAAAACTTTTGTTGCAGAAAAACATAACTGGTTCTAGGCTGGAAGGTATGAAAGTGGTATTGTAATCAATTCATAACTGTTAGCCAAAAGATTCTGGAGTAATTTTAAGTCCTTACAAAGCTTTGTGCGTTGTTTAGAATGGAAAATTAAGGGGTTACATATGTCTTGAAGGTCAAAAAAGCTTATTTTCTCTATTTTTTTTAAAGATACTAAATACAGTTTACAACTTATTTTGTTTACATATAAAAGTACAATACGTGGACAACATGTGATGAAGATTTGAAGGAAAAATAGTATAAAATAAGTCGTTGACAGTGTCGTAAAGCAGACCGTCCACAAGAAAGTGCTTTCGCGTATATCATGATAACTTTTTCAATTTTTATGTGAAATAAAAAATCAATTTATTTTCTTAAAGTAGATGAATTTTTCTTGTCCCTGAATGAAGAAAAATTAAAAAAAAATAAAAATCTAATTTTTTGTAGCGTTTTTTAGGAAAGACGTAATTTTATGTATAAAATTAGGCCACATATTGGCTTGAAAAATGAGTTGAAATCAAAGATAAAATGAAACCTTCGTTCAGGGACTAAAAAAACATGCAATAGTATGGAAAATTTGAACTCGATCGCTTCAATAGTCATTGAGAAATTTTGACTACCGATTTCGATAGTGGTTTTGAGAAAAACACGTTTAAAGTTTCGCCATCGGTCAAGCCATGACAAAGACGGCGGGTTATAAAACTCTCTAATTTCCACGGTCTCATCTCGATCGACTTGAAACTTGGGGAAAATATTCCTGACACTTTGTACTTTTATACCACAAATTATCAAAAAAATAATTTTTTTGAAGTTTCAAGACCAAACGATTTTTAAGACTTCCACGCTATTGTAGGACGCAGAAATAAGGATTGCTTCTGATATTTTGCATGTACATATTAATTTTGAAATTGTAGATGTTAAATAAAAAAACAAGTCTTTATTTTTCAAATGTGATAGATTTGCATGTTCACGTGATCCAAGAGACTTATCAACGGTCGAATCAAACGAGCCTGAGCTCGATGGGGTTGCGTCGACCTCAACAATGTTGAATTGTCATCCGACTTATATTAAAGCAAAGTTTCGGCTCAATTGGAAATCAGGAAGTGACTGCTCTAATTTTACTTACAAGATTAGACAGACCGACAGACAATGGGACAGGTGAAACTAAATAAACGCATGTAAAAATTATTCGACTGCAGAGTCAAGCATTCGTTGCAAAATCTGTGGGTGTGACCGCAAAGTCAAAACAACCCGGCTTTAGTTTGACTTGAATCAATCTATCTAAAAGTGCTAAATATTAAATATTAAGAAAGCTCAACGAATATGCACCAGCACAATTAGTGCTAGTATTCGTACCATACCAATTCTCATTCACTTTACCGACACCGTAGAAGATTCGTCGAGTGGTCCAGCGTAACCCACTTTATTAAATATGAATACGGAGGGTCTGCCAAACATAAAGATGGATATGTGGTTTCACTGTATTTAAATAATAATTTTTGAATACAAAAAGTTGGTGGTTATGATTCGCGGTCCAGTCCGTTCGTTCTCATTCTGAACCTCTAGTATACATAGTGAACTTGAAGAGTCACTCAAGCTGAAATTCGTAAATCCAGGTGACTTTTGTGCGTATAATTTTCTCAGGAAAACATGTTCGGAGGCAAGGGGTACTTGTGACGGTACGTGGTTTGTGGACTTCAGGGAAAAGCCTGCTAAGATTTGGAGCCACTGAAAAAAAATTAATGAATTTCCAATAAAAGCGAATATAAATCGTTGTTTTTACCCAATAATAACGGTAAATAAAATTGCAATTTCAAAAGAATGATGTTTTATTAAAACTAAAATGCAGAAGTTTTTTATCAACTCATAATATTAAATATAGTAAATATTCTATACAAGATCGCTTAAGAGTAAATATTCCAATAGATAACTACGATTTAATTTAGCTCTTCCTCTCAAAGTAACGTATGTGGACTTTTATTTTATTTTTGAATACGATTACCGTATACTGTTTCTAAAATACCCGAATGGTTCAACAACACACACATACTTTTCTATTTTCTATAAGCCCAAAATTCTATACCAACTTCGACACATCCTTCAGCACTAATTGCAGTATTCATCAAGTATTAGTGCTTGTATTGGTGTTTACCGTTAGCGTATCATGTGATCTCCGGTGGAGCGGCATTGTGGTTGTTGTGAGCAACATCAGGCGATGTCGAGAACGGTCGATGCAACAGCTGTACGCTGTGATGATGGTGATGCTGGTACGCAGAGGTGTCCTGCAACGCTGCCACCGTGCTCAGTGTGGCCGCTATGCTGTTTGCCGTTGAATTGAGTTTTTCTGGTGAATTGACACGTATTTTCGGTGGTGTACAGTCCATCGCCGCATATGCGGGTGGTGGATAATTGATGGCGGCATGCAGGTGACTGCCGTTCAAGCTATGCGCCTGTGCCGGCAATTGTGGTTGTGGTCTAATGACAATCGGTTGTATGGGGAATTGCTGTGACATTTCTTTTAGATTACTAAAGCTTTGCAAATAACAACCGGCATTAAAGAGACTGGTGGCTGTGTCCAATTTGAAAGGTGGCAAGCAGGTGGATAGCGGTGTGGATGTGGCATATGTGGCTGCGGCTGCCAAATTACTCGCCGCTATGGAGGTGGCCAAATCGCGTGGTTTGTCATCGTCAATACTAAGACTCTCTTCGCGATCGTTGGCACCATTCGATGTGGAACCAGGGCTATGCTGTAGTTGAATACTACTAGGAACAGGTGAGTGGGTGCCCAGAGAGATATCTGAATCTGATGTGTCCGATGGTGTCGGAGATGGTGCTCCCTCTGGCCGACGGCTGCGGCAAAGAAGACCGGAGTTATTTTGATTATGTTGTATTCTGCAAAGAAAAATAAGGAAATTGGGTTTTTAAACTTCGAATTACTGGAAATTTATTCCACATACATCTATTGTTTGTATATGTGATTATATATATATTTTATATAATAATTTTTGGACATCTACTCTATCGCAATCAAAATGAGATACACATATTTTTAGATATTATTTCTCCACTAAATTTTATCGCCCAATTCCTCAATAACCTCATTGCACACCTTGGAAATATGAACAACCCTTTTGCGAGTTATAACCAACCCATGTGAAGCCCCGAGTCACCACTCCGTTATATCCGGTTTAAAGGTTCACCATAATATTTTTGTAGCGCCTTTCATCAAAGGTGCGACTGGGAGCGGGCGTCGATCTCTATACAAATGTGACCTAACTTAAACCACACAAACGTGATCTAAAAATTCCGGTTTCATAATTTTTTAAAATAGTTCAGGCAATAGATCAAGCTTCTACGTTGAATATTAAAGATTTTTCTCTACTAGGAAAGGAGTCGGTGGTCTCTATCCGGCAGAAGGTTTCTATTTCTCGATCCCATTTTACATTTAGTCCAAGTTCCGAATGGGGACTGAGGCCAGCATTTAGGCAACTAGCTGCTTTCTACATCTTAATAACTTTACTGACGTAGACACCGTCTACGCGATTAGAGCCAAGTTAACAACATTGCGCCATTCGTTAATCTTTTTGCTGTTTGGCGCCAATTTTAAATACCAAGTACAGCCAGGTCCTTCTCTACCTGATATTTCCAACGGGGTGAAGGTCTTCCTCTTCCTATACTCCCACCGGCGTTTACTGCATCGAAAACTTTCAAAGCTGGAGTATTCGCATCCATTCGGAGGACATTACCTACCCAGCGTAGCCGCTGTCTTTAAATTCGCTGAACTGTGTCAATCTCTCCGTATAACTCGTACAACTCATCGTTCCATCGTCTGCGATATCCGCCGTTGTCAATGCACAAAGGAAACTCCTAATGCGGATTCATCAGATGTTGTCATCGTCCATGCTTCCGCACCATATAGCAGGACGGAAACCATGAGGGACTTGTAGAGTTTGGGTTTTCGTTCGCCGAGAGAGGACTTTGCTTTTTAATTGTCTACTCAGTCCAAAGTAGCACCAGTTGGCAAGAATGATTTTGCGCTGGATTTCAAGGATGACATTATTATTGGTGTTAATACCCTAGTTTCTAGGTACACGAAGTCGTAGATATCAAAGTTATGACTGCCAACAGTGACGTGAGAGCCAAGTCGCGAATGCAACGACTGCTTGTGTGATGACATATTCAATCGCTTCCTTATCCAGGCTGGAGAAAGCTGAGCTCAAGGCGCGATCGTTGAGGCCAATAATGTCAATAGCTCTTCAACTCTTATAATTTTCGGTAGTTATAAATTAAAGGAGTCACACGATAGAGTACCACCCTGTCTGAAACTTCGTTTGGAATCGAACGTAGCGGAGAGGTTCTTCCTAATTCTGACGGAGATTTTAGTGCTGCTTAAGGTCAGTTTACACAGCCGTATAAGTTTTGCGGGGATATCAATATCAGACATAGCGTCATAAATTCAGCTCCCATTCGTGCTGTCGAATCCGGCTTTAAAATCGACGAAGAGGTGATGTGTGTCGATCCTCTTTTCGCGGATCTTTTCCAAGATTTTGGGCATGGTGAATATCTGGTCAATGGTTGGCTTACCAGGTCTGAAGCCACACTGATAAGGTCCAATCAGTTTGTTGACGGTGGGATTCACTCTTTCACAAAATACGCTGACTTCCCTGATGCTCCTGTTCCAAGGGCTTAATATGAAACTTCATCTTAAATGTATCCCATCCCACTAGATCATACGACACTTATGTAAAGCTAATTCACCTCACGGGGTCGTAGCTCCCCCTATTTAGCCTTTGTTATAAACGATAATTCACAGAGTTGAAGTGAATTACAATGTTTCCCCTTAAATATAGTCGGTTAAATTAATGAGGTAGCTGAGTTCTTAAGTGATCTTTCTCTCTCTCTCTCTCTCTCTCTCTCTCTCTTTCTCTCTTTCTTTCAACGGAGAAAGTATCTACATCATATGACATGCGTGATACCATTAAAATTATCATTAAGTGCCAACAGAAACAATATAAGCCAGTGTCTTTTACAGAGCAATCCTCACTTTTCATGAATTATAGAACACCTCAGGATATTCGAAGCGAAAAAAAGAGAGTTTAGTTAAGAAAAGCTGAAGTAATAGTCAGAAGAAAAAATTTAAAGAACATGTGTGATATTTTTCGACGCCTCGAATATGTATAAAATTGAAAAAGTTCGATTCAAGCCTCCTGATTAATGAGCTCTTAAATTAAGGTAGAGTATTCTACAAGTACCTAATTTTAAGCGAGAATCCGGTACAAAATTTATTCGATATAACTCGCAAAGGTTTATAGTTTTGTAAAACCACAGGCTTGGACAAAGACAAAGTGAAAAGTCATAAGTATCTTGGTACAGCGCGGCACCTACTGATTGAATTAAATGGAATGCTTCATTTCTACTTAATCGAAGAAGGTTTAAATATAATACATACACTTTAGCATCGTGCTTTCGTTCCTGGGCTCCGTTTCCCTGGACCTGTTACAACCTCTCACCCTGTTCGTCACCCACAGCAGAAATGTTCCGGAAAGAGTTCTAAATCAGAGTTCAGCCTGTATGCTTAGTGAAATGTTACACCCCTAAACTAAATGTGACAGTAGAAGTTCCTTCATTCATTCTTCATAATTTTCTGATTTAAGGTTTTCAAAAAAGTTCCTCGCAATATTCACAAAATATTGCCATGGAAGTTTTTCCTGGTCATTCAGTTTCCTCTCAAAGATCTTATCGTTTAACAACTTTCGTATTTGTGGGCCTAAATATATTCACTCTATAACTTTTGCGTCGCTGAGTTACGGGAATTTCTCTTTTAGACAAAAAGATCATGGATGGATCATAGCTTTTAAAAATTTCTTATCAGTCCAAACGTTTTTGTGCGACAAGAATGACATCAAGTCAAGTTTGAATAATGGATAGTGGGCTATCTTTCGCTTGAGAATCGCTTACTTACGTGATCCCTTGGCTCCGACCAAATGAATCGTATGGCAGATGGCCAATGTTTGGGTTGTTGGTGAGATCTCTTACAAGTCACACAACCTTTGGGTATGCGGAACCTAAGATTTCTTTTGATTCTTCACAGGATGTTAAATTTTGATGCTGAGATTTAAAAGTTAATTCTACACACACATAACGGAAACTGTCGGGGTTGTTAGAACACTTCCGGGATGGTAGAATGAATTCGAAACCAAGCTGTTGTCTTTTGACGACTTCTTTTTATTCTTGTAAGCCGCTCAGACGTAAGGCATAACCTTCATTTGCTGAAGGAAGATTATTGCTATTGATTGCGGCAGCTCATTTTGGTTAGATCATGATCAATTTCTGACTAAGTTTCAACTTTTTACCACCCAATTAGAGTTTTTTTTTTGAATAGGGTTCGTTTTGCATACGATTTCCTTTAATGCTGAGAGCCCCAATGGTAAGTGCAGATGAGAGCTTAAATTCGATATGTCGAGTTTCTTCACTGTCCTCGAGTTTTCGAAAATCGAATAGTTTCAATTAACGCCTTTATTTTGTGGTCGGCCAGTATGTGGTGTATCTTGCACTCTGAAATGTCCAGATCGTCTGCGGAAAGACCAACAATGACACTGATTTACAGAGTTAAAATATTTGAATTATGAGCTCACGTCATCTATGCATGCGGCAGCTCACGAGTAGCCAATACATACTTATGTATGTATTATGTATGCGCAAAAGTGTACTAACACTGCTTTTCACCTCTGAAAGATCACATTTTTGAATTTAAAAAAAAGAGCTTAATCGATTATTTACGTCAAAAGAGCATTATTCCTCCTAAGTAATTGACCGAAACACCTTTCAGATATACACACATACATACATACATACATACATACATACATACATACATAAATACATATGTGAATACACAGCAACATTCATTTATAACTCGGTGTTTTCAAAAAGTTCTTATCATAATTATTTTTAAATTTCACACAATAAATACTGCTTGTATGTGTGTGGCCAAATAAATTCCGTTATGAGCACCGTTTACGTGGCAAGAAAGGAATCACGTATTTACTCCAATTAATTAAATCGTTAAATAAAGTTCAATATCACTTCCGCTTAAGAAATTCCCATATTCCAACTAATCGACCTACGCAACGGGAGCCACAGAAATTCATGATTGAGAGATTTCTCGAACACAAAGCGCTCCAACTGTTGCACCCATGAACATCTGATTTAATAACTTCCAGTTTTTAACTTAAAGTGGGAAGAAAATACACGTAATTTAGGCGATTTCACGGATTTCAACATACCTACGAGTAATTTCGATGAGAAGCTTTTTGTGATATGGGAATTGACGTTCGTATATTAAGTTCTCATGTTCGGGCTTAGCGCTTGTGAGGTGTGAGGTTTTAGTGCCGCATTCCCAAGATATCTGCGATCTATTGAATATTGGTTTTCCGCTCTTAAGTAAAAGAAAAAAATCAAAAACCTACTATTATTAGGCGATTAACACATTCCTTGCTTTGATACACTCATTTCAATTCTATGCATTCATGCGGCGACGTTAATATGATTTTATTCTCTTGTCATTCGCTTTTGAAGGTCATATCAAAGGGGTAGCAGATGCGAAGAAAATACTGATCTCTAAATGTACAATAACGACGAAGTGGAGTAGATGAAAATATCCATAAGCACTGATTGTTGCTTCGTCGTATGCGATTCTTTTCGAGACGATCATATTACCAATTCGACCTCTTCACTTCATTGAATATCATAAGAATGCTTGACATGAGCCGATTAAGAGTTTCCAAGTTTTGAATTTCAATATTTCGTATCGTAACGCACAACGTCTGTTCGCCAGTCAACCAAACAACCAACCAAACAACCAACCAGCCGTTAGTAAACGAGACCCAGCCAGCAGTGAGCCGACGTGGCGTATTTAGGCAGTTAGTCGATGAGGCAGCGCATAAAAAGTCAACTGTCGACTTCCGTCCGAGTGCCGGTCTAGTTGGCCAGCCAATGGAATCGCAATAACGATGTGTCGCTTAGGTAGGTGCCAGTGTATCGCATTTCACAAAATCCTCATTCTGATGATATACTTGTATGTTTAGTCAATTGTGTGGAAAATGTTGTTGTTTTTTTTTTTTTTTTTGTGTTTGCGTTGCTCGGCTAAGTGCTGACGATGGACAATGTCTTAATTTTAATCAGAAGTTAGTATTAATTACGGCCAAGTAATCTTGAAAGCAACTTCTTTTGTCACTTACAATGCATAGATTACGCCGATCTCGTGCCCAAAGTGAGGCGGTTAGTTGAGCTAAGGCGAGAGGACAGGTAGTTCAGGTATCTCAATTTGAATAAATTACATACAGAATAAACGGAAGAGTGGCTTAAGAAAGACCGTATTTGTATTGCAGAAGGATGGACCGCTTCGATTTGCAACAGCAACCATACACGAGCACACAAAAATTTATTTATATTGATTTTATAAAAAAAAGGTAGCATATTTATATATATATTTATTTTTAATTCGTGTTCATGTTTAGAAGAGCAGAAATTTTCATAGCTGGCAACGCCGCTTTAAAGGCGAATGAAAAGACAGCATAATTCTTTAAAGGTTTCAAACTTTGAGATGCATCTGAGTTGGTACTAATCAACCATTAAATAATGGGCACAATTCTTGGACTAGCACCGCAGAAGAGGATAAGCCTTGTTCTGGAGTGTTCAAGAAAAATTTGCAAAAATTCTCTTGTATTTTGAATGACAGAAAAATAAGTTGTTTAGACACATTTTTGTGGTCAAAACGCATTGTGGGCGCGACATCACAATATAAATTTAGTATTCTCAAAAAGGTAATTCAATTGTTAATTCCAAGCGCTGAGTAAATAGATTAAATGTCTATTTAAGCAAGAAATAGAACTTTGAATAAAAATATAATCTTTAGTAAAGTTGCAGTTAAATAATGCGTTAGAAAAAATTTTAGAGAATGCATTCGATTTTGGCCTCCCTCGATCCTGTGTATATAAGGATTAACCTTTCAACTAATGGGAAAGTTCTGCATTCGTTTAAAAAAGTTTTAAAAGATGGCGTCAGACGTCAATTTTATTTCCATCACGCATTTTGTTGTCAAAAAATGTTTAATCTCGACGTGTGGCCAAACTGAAGCTAGTTTCTGCGATTCCAATTTTAATTTCTCTCCGTGAAATTTTGTATGCTTCATGTGGCTGCTCTTGTAATAAAGTCTGCGAGTTTGCCATTTTCACTTGCAATTTGAAATTAATTAATTACTACGTCCGAGGACACCTTAATATCACTAAAATGCCCTTGCGGGTGGAAAACACTTTGTGGGAACATAGAAAATCCTCCCAACGAAAACAACTATGTTTCACATAAAAAGGAAAATAGAGACCTATTAATGATGCCCATCACGAAAAAAAATGCTTTCCTCATGACTCCGGTAAGGGATAAAGGAAAATTTGGAGCATTGCTTCAGTATGGAATTACCTCGGGTTCCACGTCCTTGAGTCGCAGATTAACACCTTAGTGCAAAAAACAGTATAGAACAAACTCTGTGATACGTGACAAAATTTCGCTAGTTCTAGATTTGTTTGGGAAAGCTCGAATATTACATAAATTTTTGGTGTTTCCATTTTAATGCTAATCATTCTAAAAGAATTATGGCTGGACATTTTCCTATCTCGATAACTCTGCTGAGTCTTGTATAGAAGATTTCATAAGTTTTTGGATTCAATACATTTTCAATTCAAGAACTCAAGTCTTTCGAATAATATTAACTTCAGATTTGAGGTATGAAATTATTTCCCCACATTCGTGCATTCATATGTTTCTGCTACATCTTTAGAGTGCCCACGCTAATGAGCGTTTAGCCGGATTAACAATGAACCTGACTTGGTCTTCTCCATCAGATTCTTCTAAACATATATAAATTAACCACACACGATTTGTGTAAAAAAATATCCAAGCCGACAGTTTGTATAATTCCCATAATTAAGCAGCCAAAGGAGTGAATAATAAGTAAATACTAAAAGGAAATCGTAACAATTTCTACTCCACTTCCACTCAAAATACTAGATTCATCAAATTTGCTTACAAAGCACTTTTTAAACTCCCATGTACATAAATGGAAAGTACCAGAGAGAGAAGAGGCAAACCTAACCTCAAACCGATCAGATTGATTTAGCCAAGACTGTCTGTTTGTATGCGAAGTAGTTCCTCTAATTTTAAGCTATTTTAGCCAACATTGTACTGCGTGCACTGATACATTTAAACAATCAAACGGCGATTTTTCAGATTTGAGATTTTGGATCATATATTTATCAAAGAAGCATCTAAGAGTTTGAAATTTGGTGAGCGTAAAAATGGTGAATTACACTATGGTGAAAATAATCGAAAAGCATTTTACAGCTTATGAAATTTGGAGCTTTCCATTTGTATCTAAAAATAACCATTGACACCGAAAATCGACGAAATCGGGAAATTTTATCAAATTGCCTCTCCCACCATTTCTCAGATATGAGAAGTAACATTTAATCCTAAAATCAAGCACCATATATTTGGTATGGTCATGAAGACAGCTCTTCTTTTTTACATGATTTTAATTTTTTCAATAAGAACAACATCGAATCAATAATTCTGAGGCAATTTTACACACTTCGGCATTGATCGAAATTTATCTTCGTTCATTCGCCACCACTTTTATGCATTCACATACCAAGGGAGGATTTGTGAATTTCTATCACGTCCTAGTGTCTTTTGACACCGTTTTTTCATTTTCGATGTAAAATTATTGTTGTGGCTAATTATGTTTGAATTAATTGTTTCGCTGCAATCTCACACCGAGCATTATTTGATTATTTAATTATTTATCCTTCATTTGTCTGGTTAACATACGCATAACTATATTTGTGTTCACAAACATCCAGTCTATCTCTTTTCATGGACATACGTGTAAGTACAACTCAATCGTTTCATCTGTACGCGATATATAAATGTACGTGTATGTAAGTATGTATGTAGTACATAGAAGAGTATGGAAATCTCCTTACAAGTGTGATGAAAAATGTACGTGCTATCAACTGACAACACAACAATTAGGTTTTGAAGCGCCGTTCACAGTCCTACGCTAAGACGAAAGAGATATGAGTAGAGAGAAGAAACCAAATCCAGAGGTTTGTTGTGAATTAAACAATTTAAAACTTCATTTGTGTCAGCTGTGGTTCAGACGAGTGAGACATCGGCGACTTAAAGGCTCGTGATGGCAGTAGCCGCCACATAACGAAGGCAATCGAACGGCGATTAGATATGACTCTCACTGAATCACAGCACACCGGCGGTTGAATGAATGCCTGCCTATTGGTGAGTTGAAAAGGTGCACTTACATGAAGAACTATAATTTGTGAAGTTGGGAACGGTGCTGTCAGTGATCACCATTTACCCTCCCGGCCCAGCAGGCTTCCAGCAACAATGTGAGTTATGTTATTGTCATTAATCACTCAACACGAGCAGTTATCGTTGCCGCTTACACTCATTCATTCACGGCTCACCCGATCGTTGACCACCACACCACTCACAACTCACCGCCCATGGTCCGATAGTCTTGAGGAGCGCGAAAGTGAGGTGGAGAGCTAAGCGCTGTAAAAAATCGCGACTGCACGAGTTACTTATTAATGTTATGTTGAGTAAAAGAAATGCGACGTGGAGAAGATTAGAGCTACACTGTAGTAGGAAGCTCAAGCGATAATTATGACATAGCAGGAGTCAGCATGATTTCGATGATGAATTTCCAACATTAAGACCTATTTGCCTCTTCACCTTCGCAACGCATACCAATTGTTCGCCTTCCAATCGACCAGCGAACCACACTATAAGGGCTTTTTGCGCTAAAGTGTGTTGTTTTTTTTTTGTTTTATTTCACACTATATTTCTTCTCATCACAGAAGAACAATACAGCGGCAACCATCACATCTTTGTATCGCTTCAGGAGTGTCGATGTGTCGTCTTGATGAGTGATTGGATTCTTACGTTCAAGGAGTCTCATATACACACACACACACATACATACATACGTGCGCCGTAGAACGTCTTGGTGCGGCAACAGCAACTTCGTTAATAGAGTAATCTGTGGCCCTTGCGCTGCGGGCAGCTGCGCGATTCTTGCTTTGTGGCGAGTACTAGTTATCAGGTGATGCTTAAGTGAGTTGTCTGAGGTGGTGGAGGTTTGTATTGATTATTAACTGCTCCGCCACAGTCTCAGCGGGACGATGCGCTAGAGGATTTATTTGCTTACATGTTAGAGCGAATGTGTGGCTATGGCCATTATTTTATTACACCTTTAAAAAGTTCCGACTTAACGATGTGTGAAAGACGTTAAACGGTTCGCGCAGCAGCTACTAAAATTTAACTGATCAGTCATAATTGTATTTGCCTCGGGGAAACGGATTACGCTTGTGATTACAACGATTTATAATATGTACATACATACATATACATACGTACATGCATACATATATGAATGTGTTAATATGACATGCGGGAATAGACGAGAAATAAAAGATATTTATAATTTCGATTATTTAAGATTGAAAAGGAGACAAATTTAGAAGATTCGTAACAAACGAATTACTTAAATATCAGGCGAGGTAAAATTTCAAAACCGTAGCACGCTCATTTAGGAACAACAATATATAACATGACCCAAATCAGGGAAAAAAATATCGAACCATCGTATTCGCCTTGATCGTATCTAAAACTACCTCCGGTAACACCGAAAAGAGCTTATTGCTGACTTTAGGCCTGAATTTGGTATTTTCACTAAAAACCGTTTGTCTCACCCAAAAAAAAAAAAAACCAATTTGACATTTCTTGTGAGGACGGCAACAATCAACATTATTTTGGTATGTAAGTAGGAGACCAAAGTAAGCCGTTATTTTTTGTTTGTTGCAATATTAAAGGCTTGCTGAAAAGCTCGAATATGAAGCATAATTCAACCGAATGGAGTCTTCTGCAGTGATTTAAAAGTGATTGCTATCTCT